TAGACAAAGGAATAAATCAGTCAACAAACATGGGACGTAATTTTGGCAATACTGGGCTGTCTATGCTCTTATTTGCTTAACTGTATAAATCTTTCACCAGACTACAAATGAGACTGGTTCCCTCAGTGTCGGGGTCAGGGGAAGAGAGGGATTGGGCCAGATCCTGTGGATTTGACGGCTCCTGCCGACCATGGCTGGTGTTGAGCGGTTTCCCTCATTACAGCAATTCAGCATTCCCAGTATTGGGGAATCGTTTCGAGATATTTGTTCCATTTCCTCTCTCGTATTACAGAGCTTAAGAAACATCACTGAGATGATAGCTCCCTGAGGGCTGTCTCCGTAAGGGGTTTTTATGCCTCTCCTTGTCCGAATATCTGCATGCCTCACTGGTTTTGGTGCTGTGGCCTCGCGATGCTCTTGCAAGGAGGGGAAGGGTTGTCTTTGCTGCTTCTTGGACAGGGAGATGAGGTATGCTCATAACTTCATCTCACACCTCACATCCCTCCTAGCACCCCACAGCACAGAGCTCATAGAAATGCAGTTTCTCTTTGGAAGGAGAAATGAAAGCCTTGCTGGCAGTGATTCCCTCCCCAGCATTCCCAGCCAGCTCTCTTGCCTTGGTATGGGTGCGTACCCACAAGGGCAGGGATTTGCAAGTGATCTGCGCTGGAAAAGGATTTGGTTCATCCCACTGTTTTTTGTGTAGCTGGAGAGACATGCCAGCTTGCATTCATAGAGGAGTTGAGGCCTGAGAGATGCCCTTCGTCACTGGGAAGCACATTTGCACTTCCATCCCTCTTTAAGGCCCTTTTGAGGCTGTAAAGCTTGTTTTGACCCTCTGCCGACAGGTCAATCCCACTTGGGGTACCTCATGTTGCTACAGGTCATATTAAGCTTCCTCTGTCAAAAAATACGAGTTGAGAGAAGGATTCGGGATTTATTTCATCACAGTTTGTCCTTTCTCAACCAACATTTTCGACTGCTGGTATTGCTGTGGGTGGATTTCCCCTCCCCATGCATATGCTGGCCTTGCTTCCCACTTCCAGTGATTTAAGAAAAGATTTCTGCCCAAGTAATATAAACAGTAAGTCTTTATAAAATTTTTTTTTAAAAGATGTTCTCAGGTTTCCCACTGTGTTTTTCCAGAGATCACCAGATAAATAGGCCTCAGGAAAGATACACCAGGGAAGGCAACTATAAATACTCCAAAAATGTTGAGAATAAGTGTCAAGGCTTAATGCATAGCTAATGGCCTAATCTGCAGTTTCATCACAAGACATTTATCTCCTTGCTTGCTTTCACCGTAGTCTCCCTGGAATATCTGTCCATTTAAAGTTTACTTATCCTACCCAAGAAAATTCATTTCCTATTCACAACCTATTCCTCCCCAGTTTTTAAATCAATCTTTATTTTTTAAAAATGGCTTGTCAGTGACCGAGTGCTACCCATGGTGTAGTCTATAACTGAGCTAGAAGGAGCCTTTAGATAAATGTGCAATGCCAGCCTATGCCTTCTGTCATTAATGGTGCATTATTGCTGCAGATATAGATGAACTGGCCCCTAGCTGGATGCCTACAAAAAAAAGGCATAGCTGGGAATGGAGTTCATCTCCATCATACTTTGGCTCCTGCAGACATTTTCAGACAGGCTTCTCACTCGGAGGAGGAGAATCTGCCTTGTGTCAATCACACTGGCTATCTTTCCATCGGCGCTCATGCTGCCGCGTTTAGCCCCTAGATTGACTGATACATGGGGCGAGATTTTAAAAATCAGGTGCTGAAAATGAGAAAATGACGGAAGACCAAGTTCCTGTGCGGAAGACTTTGTGGCAGGACACCGAGGTGGTTCAGGGCTGCCAACGTCTTGGCCAAGTTTGGAGAATATAGCTCATCCCTGCGTCCTTGGGGCCAGGGCAGCATGGACACGGCTTGGCCCATGGCTTGTAAAGGGGGCTTAAAACTGCCACCCTCTTCCCTTTGTCCTGTCTGTGCCAAAGTGCAGGGATGGGGAGAGAAATGAGCCTGCCCAAAGAGCCTACTTCTAGAAGAGGATTGCTGAGTTGGGCCCAGAGCACTTTCGTACTTGCAGCCTGATGCTAAGGAGCAGGCTTGGGCACTGAGCCATCAAGAGGCATCCAGTGATGTATAAGAACCGAGGCTGGTGGTCGGAGCTCCTTTTCTGTGGTCACCTCCACACCAGGCACCGAGTTTAGGTCCCTGCTGCTCAGAACTGTGTCTTTTGCCCCAGAGGCTGAAAATTAAACTCTGGTTTTTTGTTTTGTTTTGTTTTGTTTTTTTCTCCATTTTCCTTGTCAATGCCAGTAAAAAGAAGCTAAATCTCAGTGAGAGCACGTGGCTGGTTCGCTGTCTGCACTGCATGCCCTGAGTAGGATGCGGCTCGTATCTGGTGGAGAGTGGCTGCATCTGCAAGTCATTGCTTCCTTCGATCGCCTTGCTGGGATCTGTTTTCAGTTGCTGCTGAGACAAACTCACCAGTCAAAATATTGATGCTTTTCAAGTTCAAGTCAGCACATTTCCCGTAAGCACTGTTTTACATTGCATTTGCATGAGTTGCTTTTTTGGTTGTCTCGAAACCGCCATAAACAGAATTCTGTCATTAATTTTACTCTTCTATTCAATGCTGGTAATTTGTACATTGTGCCTGTCCAGCACAAACCAGGGAGTGATGATGTTGGTGCTGTGCTGCAGGACAAAGTGCAGGCAAATCCATTGTTCTGCACTGAGATGAACCCAACGTTGAGCACTGAGCCTTTGCTAAATTGGGATACACACTGGGTAATCTTCCTTCTTCGGTAACAAATACAACTTCTAGGGCGTTGTGAATTGGGTCTGTTTGGGTGCTGGTACCACTGTAGGAAAGTTATTCTTGAAAGGTGCTTTTTTACTCATGCTCTGGCTGAGTTTGTGAAAGGTTGTTTCTGTGCAGCCTCCAGCAACACGGTACCCGCCCCTGGTGAAACATTAAGCCTTTGGTCTTCCTCCTCCTTCACCAGGGGTAGAGCCTGGCAGCCCTCACCAAATCCCTGGGGCTCTGTGATGACATGTGTTGAATAAAAAGGTGTGCCTGGAGATCTTACAGTTTCCTCACTGGGCTTGGTTGGAAACCCGGGAACCCTGTCAACCACTCCAGATCCAAGCCAGCAAACGACTGTGTGTGTATCCCTGTACTGATGTGTCTGTGTCAGCCTTCATGGCAAGCCAAACCTCCATTTCTGACCGGAGGTGTTACTAAATTAGAAGGACTGGCTGACATGATCAATGATGGAGTCTCAGGCTGGAGGGTCTGCATGAATCATGAGACCCAGATCAAACAAAACCTCAAGGTTTTCAACAGGTTGAAAGTGGTGACAATTTTCTCCAAGCCTGGTGCAGAATATCCACCTGCATCAATGCTGACTGGGGACCGATTGGTCGTGTAGCAACCCTAGCATGAGGACTGTGGGTGATGGTGATGCTGTGTGAGCCGATGGTGCACACTCGTCAGGAATAAGGCAAACCATCAAATGGGCCATTTGAGGGGGAGTATGGCCAGGACATCCAGGGAAGTTGTTATTCGCCTTTGCTTGGTGCTGGTGAGGCTGACCCAGTGTTGGGCCTCCCAGTTCAACAAAGTTGTGGACAAACTGGATTGGACCCAGGGGAGGGCTACTGAGGAGGTCAGAGGTCTAGAGTACATCAAGAGGTGGAGGGAAATGGGCTTGTTCAGCCTGGCAAAGAGGAGGCTGGGATGATCTAAGAGCTACCTGCAACTACTTGAAGGGCAGCTCCAGAGATGATGCAGCCAGACTCTTCTTGGTAGCAGCAGCTGATACCATGAAGGACAACAGCCACAAACCGCAACTTGAGAAATTCAGATTGGACATTAGGAAAAACTTCTTTCCCAGATACTCTGGGAGGGGCCAAATCTCTTTTCTTGGAAATTTTCAAAGCTTGCCTAGAAAAAGCCGCAGCTGAGCTGATGTCTTCAAGCAGGAGGATGGATGAGATCTCCTGAGATCCCTTCTGACCAAAAATCCTGTGATTCTACAAAATCAGGACATTGGGATCTTTCCTTTCTTTTTCTCTTTAAAATAAAGATAATGCTCAACCAGACTTCCAGGCTTCAACAAGTAAGAAAACAAAGAAATAAACCTCCAAGCAGACAAACAAATAAAACCCTAAGTAAACACGCAAGCAAGCAAGCAAATAAACAAACAAAACCCCCAAAGGACAAATGAGTCTTGTTTATTTAATTCCTCAATTTGCAGTCAGCCTCATGATTTGTGTGGATTTAATACTTTTTTTAAAAAACATTTTTGGCATTGGCTGGTAATTTGCAGTCTGAGTGGAGTCACATGTGAACATTTGCTAGCTCAGTCTCTCTATAAATTTGCAGCACCTGGTGTAGGAGGAAAAATGGCTCAGCTGGAGGTGTTGATGAGAGCAACACTAACTGTGTGTAAGACCTATACTTGTTCCAGGATCTGTATAAATCTACTGCAAGAAGCATGAGGACTTGAAAATAGTTGCTCTGCTGTAAGCTTCACTTGCAACCTCCAAAAGTCAAAATACGTTTCATGAAGAATTAAAACAGTCATCTCTTCTGAGCCACCAGAGACAATGAAAGTGAAAGAAATGAAACAGTTAAAGAGTTGAAGAGTTTGTCACGTGCTCTCGTTTGGGGCAATGTCCACTTTCACCCTGCTGGGACTCTCAAGCTGGTCTTTGTTGTGATGGTACTTGAAGTAGTGAGCCCACCTGTGACAAGGCTGAAGAATGAGATCTGTGGTTTGATGCGTGGTTACCTTTGGTCCTGCCTGGCAAGTAAGCAAAGGGAAGGAAAAAAACACGGAAAGAAAAAAAGAAATCCCTGGCATGCTGACTCAGCACCTTTCACACAATAAGCTTTGAACTTTACCTATGCTCCATGTTTCCAGCTAGAAAGCACCTCCGTGTCATTGCTCAGCCTGTCAGCCTGCAGTAAGTTGTTCCACGAGCACTATGAATGCAAAAGCCAGCTCTGGACGTGAGAAAGAAGCCTCAGGAATGAGGAGCGAGACCCTGGGGCGGACCAGCCACTCTGGAGAGGTCAAGAGGGGACAAGTGATCCTGGTTGCCCACCTGATTGCAACCCTAGAGCTGACCTTCCTCTTCATGCAGATGGGAGTCATGCCCGTAAGTATGGGTTGTCCTGCTTCACAGCATGTCTTACCTTCAACACCAGGCTATGTAGTTTTCCAGCAAAGTCAGAAGAGAGTTTCTAGCAGGAGAGAGGAAAGTGGATTCCTACCTAGCAGGCAAACTGTGACTGTGTTCACGGTATGCGCAGGCAGTAAAAGCTGGTTTATTATCTGTACTGCAGTAGCACCTAGAGCCCTCTCCTGGCCTGGTGGCTCTGGGTGAAGCTGATGTAGTTTGTGTCTTCTTGCTTGCAGTGGGAGAGTGACCCAACAAGCAGGCAGTAGAAATTGGAGGTTTCAGATCAGAGGTGGGTTTTTCTGAGGGCATAAAAAAACAGCTGTGAGTGGGAATTATTGCTTTTCTCTTACTGGACTCTTCTGTCTGGTTTCATAGAAAATCATAGAATTATTTAGGTTGGAAAAGACACTTAAGATCACGGAGTCCAACCATTAACCTAATGCTGCCAAGTCCACCACCAAACCATGTCCCTAAGTGCCACACCTACACGTCTTTTAAATACTTCCAGGGATGGGAACTCCACCCCGTCCCTGGGCAGCCTGTTCTAATGCTTGACAACCCTTTCAGTGGAGAAGGTTTTCCTAGTATCCAGTCTAAACCTCGCCTGGCATAACTTGAGGCCATTCCCTCTTGTCCTATCAATTCTTGATTGGGAGAAGAGACTGACCCCAGCCTGGCTACACCCTCCTTTCAGTCCATTGTAGAGAGCAATCAGGTCTCCCCTCAGCCTCCTCTTCTCCAGACTAAACACCCCCAGCTCCCTCAGCCGCTCCCCATCAGACTTGTGCTCCAGACCCTTCACCACCTTCGTTGCCCTTCTCTGGACTCGCTCCAGCCCCTCAAGGTCTTTCTGGTAGTGAGGGGTCCAAAACTGAACACAGCACTCGAGGTGCGGCCTCACCAGTGCCGAGTACAGGGGGACGATCACTGCCCTGGTCCTGCTGGCCACACTATTCCTGATACAGGCCAGGATGTCACTGGCCTTCTTGACCACCTGGGCACACTGCCAGCTCATGTTCAGACGGCTGTTGACCAACACCCCCGGGTCCTTTTCCACCGGGCAGCTCTTGTGCTCTCCTGGCTCTATGATACGCCTGCCCACCCCTGTCTTTGGTGAGCCCGTGCCTTCTGGGAGATATCTCCACTGGTTTTGTGCCTCCAGAGGCAAACTGCTCCCTCCTTCTGGGACTAAACCAGCCCGCGGTGTTCTGAGCCTATAGGCTGAGAGAGAGTTTATTTATGGGGGATCGGTTCAGTCGATAACTGATTAATTACAGGGGGTTTGAGAACTTGGGTGCAGAGCATGTACTGGGGGAGTGGGCAAGATTGGGGCACCTCCACACTTTCTGAGAGCTGAACTCGGCTGAGAGTTTTAAACAACTTTTAGCAGATGGCACAAAACAAAAACAGATCAGAAATAGCTGTCCTTTAAGCATGCAATTTTTAAATAAAAAACACCAAAGGATTGTGGCTCTTCAAGGTGTGCATCTATGGTTTTTTGCAAGCTCAGGTTGTGAGCATACCATCCAGATTATAAGGAAAGGCAATGTTTTGCCCAAGTTGTGCTTGCATTGATTCCGGCTTGCTCGATTAAACAACAGCTCCAAGACCTTACTACAGTCATTGCTTGGGCTGCCCTGGGTACAAGGTCTGGAAGCAGGGAGGCTACTTAAAATCTACCTCGTCCCCCTTAGCAGTGGCTGAATATGTTCAGCTGTGTTGGACTGCAAAGGTAAAGGGTGATTCAGATTTGTCATCTGGTGCAAAAGTGATGGTTTGGATCACATCCCCTTGATCTTCATTAGCGGATGGTATGGGATGGAGACTTTTGGTCTTTATTAAGCACTCTGTGATCCAGTGAAGATTTCATCTGTAGGTATGGGGAACTGAAGGAAGTGCTTGTTTGGAGCTGTAGTCCTCTCCACACAGCCATTAAGCTCTTTATTCAGAAATACAGCATACTGCTTTTCCCCTGACCTACTGGGTTTTTGCCTTTTTTTTTTCTTTTTTAGTACTTGGCAAAGAGCCTAGGTTTGGATTCAGTGGGCTTTGGCTACCTCCAGACAACCTTTGGTGTCCTCCAGCTTGTGGGAGGTTCCATTTTCGGGAGGTAAGAGAGACAACAATTCTCATGACCCTTTACATAGCTGAAAAAGGCCAGGCATTTTTATACTTCAATAAAAAAATCATTTAGTTCTGGTTCGTGGTCCTGTTGAAATGTTTGGAGATTTCATAAATGGGCAAGGGGAAAATAAATACTATAATTAGAAATACCGCAACATAGAAGCAGCCTTTATATTAACTTAGCTACGTTTTAATGACACACATTTAAGCGTAACAATATACTGGGAACAGGCTTAAACCATCAGAGTCCTCAGAGCCCAGGTCCTAACGGCTTAATCCTGGAAATGTTTTATAGCCATGTGTAACCTTAGAAATGTCTTGTGACTGGGGAAACCTGAAAAAGAGGGTATTTATTAATGTTAAGTAGAGCTGTCAATGAAAATAATTGAGGGTCGTGTTATTTCTACAATTGAATCTCACTGTGTCTGCATCAGTGTTTAACACAAATCTAGACTTGCAGGCATCTTTAAGAACTGATGCATCTGTAAGCTCGTCTATCAAAATAAAGGACTGGAAAAGACTCAGGTTTTTCTGCCTCTCTACTTCGTGGGACACAGACTCCTGTTCCTAATGAAATATAAACAGCCCAAAAAACATTTGAGTGGTGGGGGAATGCATTCCCAAATAGCAGAAAGAATTTGAGAGCGCAGTGTAATCCAGTGACAGAAAACTAAAATGAGGCTGAGAAAAATATAGCTTTTCTTCTCAGTCCTGCTACTGATCAACAAAGTAATAAATGGATACGGAGCTGGTGTGCACCTCAATTTTACTGCATGGGATTTACGGTCCTGGTTGATGTAGATTGTGAGCTCTGCGGGATCCTCTGGTACATGGTGTGTAGCACTTCGAGGATCTCATCTCTAAAAACCCTTGGACACTAACATAATACACATTTTAAAATTAATAACAATAAATTCTCCAGTGCAGCTTGGAAGAAAACATGTTCCTAAGGACAAACATGGTGCAAAGGGCCCAGTTTGAATGCTTTTTCTGTTAATGTACAAAACTAGAGTAACATTTCTGTTCTGGATTGGGCGCAATCTGAAATCTGGTTTTCCTCTGTGCATGTCGTTTACTAATGCCCAGAAGAGATGCTGAAGGGAAGGGAAACAGCAAACCAGAGTCCATCTGGGTCTGGACTCCCACTGCTGTAGATGAGACTGAAGGTGTATATTGCCAGATTGAAGCCAAAATTTGCAACATAGGTTGGAGATAAAAAGGATTTTCCTAGATGTGAGGCTGCTTTGACTTCAGTGTAAAGGTAGATAAAAAGAAAATGGGGAGGAGGAGGAGAAGAGAGAAAAATGTGTAACTTAGGTCAGTTTTCCTTGTTCTTCTTGCTTATTGCTCCTGAACAGCCATGAGAAGGTGAAGCACTGAATTTACTCTTGAGTAACAAAACCAAAAAAGCCCTGGACTATGTAGTGAATTGTGGTCTTTAGATTACAAACAGCGAATATAAACTTCCCTGGCTTTCATGTAAACAGAGAAGTTTTGTCCTGTACCCCTTCCTCAACATGAAGCCTTTTAATTACTTATGTTTAACTTTGTAGACCAGTCTTGGCATTTGAAGGGGGGGGGTGTTCTAGTGTAAGTACAACTAATTGCTCTGCAAAGTAACGTTCATCTGCTAACTGTAATATGCAAACTCAATAAAGTGAAGGAAGGAGCAATTGGAGTGAAAAACACTATCTAAGGCCTCTTTTAGTCCCAGTTGCTCAGAACCCTTTCTGTGGTACTCTTGGGCTTTGTCCAACTTAGCTTGTTAAAGTATCTTGGGGTTGAATAAAACCTGAACCAAAACCTCATCTGGCTGTTTTGGGACTTTTTTTTTTTTCCTCAAGTAGAAGCAAATTTGAGTCACTATTGTGAAGTCGTTCTTGAACCTCAATAGAAAACTATCTATTTATTTTCTTTAAGTGATGCTGAATGAAAAATGTTGCTTTGAAGATCCTCTGGAAAGAAATTGGAACAACTTCAATTGCCATTGAACCTGAACTAAAAGATTAGCTAGCCTGATTCCTTCCTCTGAACCAACATAAAATGTGAGGGCACTATGTGCTCTGAAGTGGTAATACAGAATGAGTTACTGAGCTGCTGTAACTGCCTCTGCCTGTGGCTGGTCTTCAGCAGCTCTCAGATAAACCATGTTTAGTTGTTGAAGTGCCAGGGGAGGAGACTTAAGCAAGCACATATTCTGCTGTGCTTACGAGGGGTCTGGAAATGGGCTGAACAGTGGCAATTACTGGTGCATTCCCCTGTTACACCAAAGTGTCTGTGCCTCCGTTCCCCGGTGGGCAGCCGGTGCTTCAGCAGTGGTCCCTGCACTCCTCTACCAGGCAAGGCTTCCAATTTTGGGGGGGCTTGGTTTGAGGGGGTTTTTTTGCAAGGCAAAATTTTGTATCAGCAATGAAGAGAGCTTGTCCAGTGCTCAGACCCAGTGAGCTGAGCTCCTCTGAGGTTCTGTTCCTCTTTTGGGAACCGAGCACTTCTGAGAATCTGATCAGCACTTCCCACGATGGATAAATAAGAGTGAGATGGCCAGGCAACTCTATCCATCTGGGTGTGTCATGCTTGCAATGACCTGCACGGCCCCACTTCTGATAACCTTGTACCATTTCTGTACCAGGTTTGCAGATCAATTTGGCAACCGAGCAGCCTTAATTCTCTCCTGTGCATCTGGAAGTGCCTTCTTCCTGCTCACGTCCATCTCCACCAGCATCCCCCTCCTCTTCCTCTCCAGGCTGCCAGCAGTGTTCATGCATGGAGTACCAGGTAAGGTCAGTCAGGGCTGAGTGGCTTTCCAAATTGCTTTTATTGTCCAATTCCTCTCTTCTTGCTTACATCGCTGGAAGTCAACCAGCTCAACAGTGTGAAGGAAGGCAGGAGGAACATTTGATGGTCATCAGGGATGAAATGGTGGGAATGTGAAGCAGCAGGTGTATTGGTTATGGAAAGCGGGGCTAGCAGCCTGTAGTCCCAGGTCCATCCTCCTGATTAATCTTGAGCAAATTGCTTGGATTTCACCATTCAGAGAGGGGTGACAGTCAGTTGCTGGCAGCAGTGCTATCCCAAACTTCTCAACTGCCTTCTTGCAACCAGGATAGTTTATAGGAGAGCTTTTCCTTTTCTCCTGGTAAAATGAGTGTATTGGTCAAAATGAAACATGATTACAAAAATACCTTTCATTACCCACCAAGTTCTGCTTTTGTTGGCCTTTCCTAGATGTTTCTAGTAAAAACCACGAGCAACCTTTAGCTACTAGCAGTCCATGTAACTCGTGCAAGAGGACTCAAGTTGATAGGGTGTTAAGCCTCTTCTTGCCACTTCTGAAGTGGTTTATTTGAGTGGTTTGAGTGTTTTTGTTTCCTATGACTGACAGGCTGACCCAATTCCACTTGGTGGTGTGCACGGGTGTTTGACCTGGGATTGCAAGGACCATTTTGTGGCAGACGCTGTCACTGTGGCCCAAAAATTTGTACACCCACTGCTCAGAGCCTGTAGAAGCTTCTTTCAAGGGATTTTTTTTTTTTTTTTTTTCCCTGCAGGTGCTCAGAAGGTTATTACAGACCTGACTACTCCTTCCCAACGTGCTGATGCTTTGGGGAAACTGGGTCTTTGCTTTGGAATAGGCATCATCGTCGGCTTTGCCTTGGGAGGTGTCCTCTCTACCAAATTCGGGTGAGTGGCCCACTTGTTCGGTGTTAGCCTTGTTGCAACCATTGAAGGAGTTGCTAAGGGGTATTTTGGTGTGTCGCCCCCGAGCTTTTGACGATATCTTACTCCTGGTGGCAGTAGAGGATTATACCAAAGCTCAAAATTTTATTTTCCATACTGCTACAAAGAACTACTTCTACTGTTTTTAAGGAGACCTTGTTGAAAATCTCCTCTTCTGTCTGCTTAAATTGATTTAAAATCAAGTTGAAGTGAGAAATGGAGTGTCTGTCTCCTGCTTGTCTTTTCTTTGGAGCTGAGCGTGCAGAAAAGCAACGCGCACTGCATAGCCTGCTTTTAAGAAACGGTGTTGTACAACTGAGAAATGGAAATCGGGAATGGTGTGAAAATTGTGGGGAAACTGGTGTGCTTGGGGGATGCTCAATATAGAGCAAGACCTTGGGAAAGGGGAAAGCAAGCTTGGGACAGTGCGGGGAAAAGAGTGAGGAAGTCTAGCCCTGTCACGGCCAGATGAAGCATGTGCCTGCCACTTCCCTCTTTGCTTTCCACAGCCTGACACATCGTAGTGGGCTGCCACCTTATGTGCTGCAACAGGAAAGAAATACCTGATTTTACCAAATTTACCAGTTGCTGTTCATTAGTAGTAAAGGAAGCTCAAAAGGTAGGGTGTGGCGGAGAGCTCTGCAGGCAGGGATGTGCACGTGGCTGTAATCTTTCAGGAAGATTCCCCAGCATTTCTCTGATGGGGAAAAAAAAAATCCTTTGTGAACTTTTAAGTGTTTATTTTGTTCTACTTCTTTTATTATGGACACTTGCTTCTACAGATTCAGGTTAGCGTGGAAATAACTTCCCCCCCCCCAACTTTTCTGAGTATTAGAGCTGCTCTAAAGCATAGAATAGAAGTTAAAACTCATGAGCTCTGGTGTTCAGGAATTGGGCTTGTCCTGGAAGGGATCAATGTTGCTGGCAAGTGTCAGTGTCTGGTAGGTGTCACCGTCCGCGCTGCCGGCAGCTGCCTTTCACCATCACGGCCACCCCGGGCCTGTGTCCCACCTCCCTCCATTTGTACAGCAATGCTAGCTCATTAAAAATCAGTTGTCATGAACTTCAGGCAGCTAAGTCAAACGTCATTGATTTTTTTTTTTTGGTGATGCTTGTCCTAGCAGCAGAAGCACTGCGGGCTGTATACGGTGACTATGTCACCTGGGCATTTTGCATAGGGCTCACGCAGTTATTGTGTTAGACATCACGAGCTGCGCTCTGAACCCTGTTACACATCTGCATGCATTCAGGTGCTGCCGTGATGCTGCTCTGCGTCTCAAATCTTTGCAAAGGTTAATTGAGTCGAAGACTTTAACGTTGCTGCCTCGGGGAGTAGCCCCTGAAAACTCTGTTTGCTGCTGTACCTTGGCTGTGTTGGGCAAATTAATTGGTGCAGACAATCTCAGGAGTTTTCTTCTTCTCGCTTGAAACCTGAAAAGGTTTTCCTTAATTCTTTTGTGGTTGATGCCTGTTCTGTGGCCAATTGACACAAGGCTGGCTAGGAGGATTTATTTTGTAGTTGCTACATGGTTACATAAAATGAAAATTGGGGATGTACATAATATTAGCTAATTCAGGATTTTAAACTATTTATAGATGTTGATGGTTGAGTGGGGTTTGAATAAGTATTATTTTTAATCAAATGCAGTGATTGTACCCCTTCTGTGCATTAACAGTCTGAAAGTAAAGTTTACCTCGGTTCTCAGCTTAATCTTTGGTTATACGCCCATATTTAACCACCAACATTCAAGTGGCATTGTTATCTAGCCAAAATTTACGGGGTTTCACTTTCTAGTGTGTGCATCCGTCGCTGGTTTATAGAAAAATCGGCAGTGGGAGAGAATCCCCCGTTTCAGTTATTTAGTTAGAGACACTTGAATGGAGTTTGGCTTTTGGATGTCCGGACTTGGTGCTGTCAGAGAAGAGGATGCTTCCAGACTTTCCAGATTGCTGCATATTTTGAAAGCTTCTGCCCCTTACATTTTGTGCCTGCAGCATAACACTGAGAAAAGTGAAAGTTGCCCGTAACGATGGAAAAGGAAGGGACCTGCACCTGAAAAACGACATAGCTTTTGACTTTCCCGTGGGAAGAGGTTGTTTCCCTTCCATCCGGCGGAGGGCGGCTTCGGCTCGCAGTTCGTGCCCGGCTGCCCGAGCATCCCATCGCCGTGGTTTCGGGGCGGCTCCTCTGTCCCGTTGCAGGACTGGGGAAAGCAGCCTGGCTGCCAGCAGCCTTTGGTTTTGTCCGTCAGGATCTGTACATCCCCCTGGAAGGACGGTAGGAATTCCCATTAACAAGGGACGAATTCCAGCGCGCTGGCAGGACCCTTCTGACCACCCTGACACGCCGAGGGTGGGTTGGAGTTTATAAACAGCAGCTCCAGGCTGAAAAGGCCGCTCTGGGTGTTTGATAGCAACCTTTGCTGCAGCCAAGTCCCACCTTTGCTTTGACACTGTGCTTAGCTCCTCTGCCAGATTTCTGCGCAAAGATTAGAGAAGCAATCTACTGATTTTTAGTGTTTTGGCTGGTATTGGTGGTGAGCGGGAATTGAGCCCTGCAAGCAGATGAATGCGGCTCTGTGCCACAAAACAGCCCCCCGAGCATCCCCGGCACCTCTGGCTATGTCTGCGGCACTGACCTGGAGGGAAAGGAGTGGGTGTCACCTTATGGACATACCCGAGGCTCCGTGACCCTGATGCTGTATCCCCCAGCCTGGCTGTTAAACACCCCTCCCTGTTTCCCACATTTGTACAGGAAGGCTCCAGCTGTACTTGGAGCTGCATGATTGCTTCCTTTTTTTTCTTTTTTCTTTTTTTTTTTTTTCCATAGAAGAATGACCCAATCTCCTTCCTTTGAAAATAAGCATTTCTGCTGTGTCATGGAAGAGCAAAGCTGGAGATTTCTGTCCACTTTGCTTTCTTCGCTCTCCCTCACCACAAAACTGGCCAGTGTTCCCCATCTATTGTTGACAGCATTATTCATATGTTAGCAGTGGCCTGTATACAAGAGAGGGGGCAGAAATCAGTCTCAGTTCCTCAGCTGATGTCATTTCGGTATTATTCTGCTGTATTGTATTTACCATTGATGTACTTGACCTAAAGAGCTGGCCTGTTGTTGTTTTTGTTGTTGGAATAATATTTGTCAACCTTTATTTATTAAGGGAGCCCCAGGGAAGTTGAATGGCTTGTTCTGATTTGCGTAGAATATTTTTGGATGTCAGATCCTGACCTCCGCTCCTAAGCTGTAGCCCCCAGCTCCAGCCCTTCTTCTTCCTCTCTCTAAAGTACTACACTTCCCCCCCATGTTTTCCAAATCTTTGAATGAAGCTCTAGCAAAGGAATTGTGACTTTTAGTCAGACCTGGACGTGTTTCATCTGTGGAATGGGGCTTTGCCTTTTGCAATTAAAGGAGCTGCTTGCCAGCTGGCTTCACCTTACTGGATTTAACTGCTGGAGACCTTGCTCTTAGTATACAACCCTCTCCACTCACCTCAGTACAAACAGTGCATCCAGCTGTGAAGAGCATGCTTTCTATGGGCAGGGTGATGGTCAGGCAAATTTACACCATCTGAGGGTGAAGTTTAAGCCAATTTATTAACACAAGCAATTGTAATCTTAACTGTTTGGAAAGTGTTTTCATGTTCGTATGTTGGGTTTTTTTCTAATGGGTGTTTTCTGGTCATTGATCAGGTGGATCAGGACTGTGGATAAAAAATACCTAGCTTGAAAATAACTCCTATAGTTCAGCTGAGGTCTCCAGGTTCTTGGAGAGTCTGCAAACTCCATGACAGCTCATCCACAAAAGGTGATGAAGAGAAGGGGCTCTGCTTGCTCTCTGCAAATGTTCCCCTGTGCACTCACTGCAAAGCTGTTAGGGGACCGCAGGCTGCAGGTGAGCGTGTAGCCCTGGAGAGAAGTGAGTTGCTATTTGTAGTAGACTTTTGTGGCAGCACTGCGTGTGAAGGGTGAAAGAAGGTGGCTGGATTAGTCTTCAAAAGTGGAAAGATGAGTCTAGGTAGCTAATTACAGAGATTTCATCCTTTCTTCTGGGACTATGATTAATTGCATTTGGCTTCTTTCTTTCTAACAAGGACATACAGAAGCTTTGCTGCATGACCCAAGATTTGTTTGCTTTCTACGGACAAGGAGAGGTTTCTTCATTTTAGTGACTCAGCTGTAGGCTTAAATGTCTTGGAGCAATTATTCTTTTGAACTTGGGATTTTCCTGGCCAAACCCCTTTGGTTTCTTATTTAATATTATTACAGCAGGCTTTGGGGATAGGTTTTTTTTTCCCTGGCTGTGCTATTATCCTTCTTCCTCAAGGGGAAAAGAAGGAGCTTGTTTGCCCGGAGTAGGGAATTGCATTTCTTTTCAATAACCCATTTAAGCAATGTCCTCTGGCAGGGAATTTCTCATCTCTTTGCGGCAGAGTGGAAAAACTGTGGGTGTTGAAAAGGCTGAAGGTTGGGAGCTGGGAAGGCGGGTGGGAACATGGCAAAGGGCGAGAGGGTTGTGCTCCGTTTTGGGACAAAGCAGGGCATTCTGCTGCCGGGAGCTGCTCCTGCTCCCTTCCAGTAGAAACTGTGGTATTTCTCCGCCTGGGATGATGTCGATCGGCCAAGCAGCGTGGATTGGTGACACTTGTACAAGCATTGCTTTGTCCTTTGATTCAAGAGACTTTGGAGAGAGGGAGGTGGTGTCTGCTTGCCGGCAAGTCATCCATGAGCTGCAATGTGTTCTGTCACCGTCGGTCGAGCCCTGCGGTGTCTTGGGAGAGATGGGGAGGGAATAGCGAATGCACTGTTTGTCAAGGAGCTGATGGTTTGGGGAAGGCACAGAGGACCTTAGTTGTGACCTTCTGTGAAAAACAAACCAAACAGGATCCAGAGATTCTTCCTCTCATTTACTCTTTGTGACAACAATCTTAGTTTTGGAAGCCATAGTCTGAAAGATTGTCTGTAAG